CGGCCAAGAGCCGGCAGGGCTGCCCGGCAGGGCTGCCCAGGGGTCCGGCCTGGGGCTCCTGCGTGGGGTGGGCAGGGCTCTCCTGCGTGGGATCACCGCACCAGGGCCCCACACCCGTGCCTGGAGTTAGAAATAATGTATTTTAGCCGTTTCCTTCTGAAGAAAGACACCATTGTTTCAAACAGGTGATTGGAAAGCCATTAATTTGTGACGAACATCGTATTTTATGCTGCTGCCTGTTATTTCCCAGAAGCAAACTTCAATTCCTTTTCCTAAAGAATGCTGATACTGAGATAATAGGGGATTATTTATCAACAGTGATCGTATTTTGTTTGAACACCTTTTCTCTTGGAGAGAATATTCTGACTGGGGCTAAAGAACAAATACCAGATTTAAGCAATGACCATGTTTTGATGCCTGCTGAGGTTGGTAGACATTAATCCAGCAGAACTGTGGGGAAAGCAAAAAGTAGATGGTTCTTTTTAAAGGTGACCTAAAGAAATAACAGATTCAGACACCAGAACTACCTTTGGTGATAGATGTCAGGGCCTTCAGTGCACTAATAAGCTTTCCTGGCCTGAGTAGTTATAGGAGAACAAATTAAGGGACAGGACTACCCAGGCAGTGGTCCTAACACTCCTATGGACTTGCAGTCCCCCAAAACAACAGTTTGCTGAGAAGGATGTGTGCTGCGGTAAGGGAGGGAACTTGGCAAGTGCAAGAGACTGGAAACTCACTGAGTTCTACCAATGGATAACTCAAAACAGATACAGAAACTTATTCCAGAAGTGAAACCTCTCTGGATGGGGAGGTGTGGGGAGGCTGGGGGCATGTTGATGACAAAGGAAAGATTGTTGAGTACCAGAAGCCTATATAACAGCCTTCAAGAGTTACAAGACTCTGTGTCATGGTACAACTTTTAATAACCTTTAGTCTTCTGAGGGGGAATCTTCAGAGACAGCAAAGGAAACATTGTGCCATAAAGCATGAAGTCAGCAAAACCTGCAGTTTTGGGGACAAGGTTAGGACAGCAGGGGGAGATTGTGACCCAATACAGGACAGAAAAAACTTGAACCCCACGCCTGCAAGGAGCGTGTGTGTTAGTTTACCTAGCAAAGCAGAGACAACCAAAACAATAATAAATGTTCTGGTAATTAAAAGAGTGAAAGTTCCAGAAGTGCTGCAGCCAATAAACATGGACACATAACAAAGCTTGGGCTCTATCTTCCCACAGTGAATGCCCGAGTTGGCTGGCTGGAATGGTCCCGGAATGGTGATCTCCCTATCGCTCTTAACTTTTCTTCTCCTCCTGCTCTCCCTCCCTCCCACTCTCTATAAAATCATGGAGTAATGCACGGCGTACCATGATGGTGCCCAAGTGGTGCCGTTGGAACACGTGTACAGTCACACAAAGCACATCACACCGCTTGATAGAATTTGTTATATGTCATTGTCAATTACAATGAATCCAATTAATGCACTGTGGAAGATTAATAAATGCTTGTGTATGTGCTTTGAGACTTTTTTTACCATTGTCCACTCTGTTAGAGATTTTCAAATCTAAGCCACTTGTCTCCCTCTTCTGAGTGGGACATGACACCAGCCCATAGCTGAGAGCCCCCTGTTAGCCTCCCAGGACTTGCGACTTGGCACCCTAAAGGGTGGCCCAGCCCGTGGCTCTATGGAGATCACCATCATGGGCTCACAGGATCCTGTAATACACCAAGACATCCTCTATATTTCTCCACTTCATTACAAATGATCACAAAATAATCACCACTAGCAAGGGTACCTATGATTATTAAGCAAATATATATATCTCAAGCTATTACAAATAAGTATCAGCAATAACTAACAGCAACAATCAATCGTACAGCAACAATCACCTTTATTGCCACAACCAATAACAGCAACAAATAAGTAGGATTTTACTATTGTGGGTTACTACAAACTTAGCATTAGTGAAGCAACTTATCAACAATAAAACAGCAGGACCTTGTAGAAAGTTTCTGCAGAGAATTCAGCCTGTTTAGGAAATGGGAACTACGTGCAGCATGCAATGTTCTCAGAGAGAGGGGCTCCATTTCAGAAAAAAAAAAAATAATAAAAAATTAAGTAGTTTTTACATTATAGAGACAGAAGAGGGTGTAGGACACCAGCACTTCAAACAGCCAACGAGTGCTTTTAATCTCTGTTTTCCACCTGTAACAGCTAATAGATGATGAAGTTTGCTCAATTTTTATTTTGCCAGACTGCAGTTAGGACAGCCAGTGGCAGTTACAAATTCTTACTTTCTCGAGGTGTTCTCCCTTTTCCCAGATTATTTTTCACCGTTTTCAAATGAAAAGTTGCTGTTACAGTTCCTTATTTCTGCGCTTATCTGTGTTATCTCAAGACGTTTCCAGTTTCTAGGTAGCTAGTTGTACTTAAAAAAGGTCAGCTGCTTCTGGTTCCCAGGTTTACAGCTCCCAGGCTGAGAGGCATTTTCTGTGCTGGTGTTTTTCAGCAGACTTTTTTTTTTTTTCTGTTCAATCATATTCTCTTTCTAGCCAGGTCATCTTTTTGGCTGTTCACATCAAGGTCCCCACAGCCCTGACTTGCTTTGGCCACCACCTAACTGAGCAGCCCATCCTCAGTCCAGCCATCCCAGGGATGTGTCTGGTACTTTAAAACTCAATTGTCATTCTCTAGAAAACCAAACACACAAGCTTATACTTCAGTAACACATCATCCAGTGTAAGCTAAAGGCAGCATAAGGATTTTGAATGTAATCAGCTTTACTGCCTCATTAGATCTCTAGCATCAATATATAGTCTATTTCATTGTTTCATTGCAAATATATTAAAAGCTAATCAAATGTAGGTACTCTAAACTACTAGCAAATATTTATAATATCTCAAATTTCCTAAATGCACCTGTTTTGGACTATGTACATCATAAAGAAACTTAATCCCTTAGCAGGAGAAATGATCCTTATTCATATATCTGCAGGAATAATTACTGTAGCTGTGAATGAATGTTAAATCCTTTGAAAAGGCCTTTCTATATCTAAAATAATATAAAATTTGCCATTTACATGATGAGAATGTATGTTGATGTCAGCTGTATGGGAAAAAAAATGCTTTTGCTTTTTCAGAGAAAACTTCTCAAATAGTCTTTTTATGTTTGCTTTAACATAAGAAATACACTTTCTAGTCTGATTCCATGGCAGCCCATAGAACTACGTAAGGAACACTAACATCTACAAATGGATCCTGAATAAGTATGTGTATGTTCAACTGCTCCCGAGTCTTTCTAGCTAGAGATATCAGCTGTTATAAACGAAATATGTTTAATTCTTGAGAAAACAGGGCAATAAAATGGTTAATATATTTAACAACAATAGGTACAAAAGAAGAGGAAGCAAATATGCCCCTCAAGCACCAGTTCCACCTGATTTTAGTTGTCTCACTCCAATACTATCTGTAGGATGTATGCATGTCAAAGTATCTTAATACTGTACCATCAAGGACCAGAGTTATCATCCCTGTGTTCAG